CCTGTGTTGTAAACATAACCTGTTTTTTCTGACTGAGTGGTCAATCGTAAAATAGCTATCATCACTACCATTAGTCATCTGTATGCTTCAGAGGTAACACAACTATTAAAAGTGCCTGGTTCAGTTCACACACTTCAGCGGTATTTTGAGATGTGTTGTAAGCAACATAGATTTGGGCATACTTTCATCGTATTTTCATAACCCCAAGACAAGAACCTCTTAAAAAGAAAAGAAAAGAAAAAATCACCAGAAAAGTACATTAGAGATTGGACTGATCATCTTATAACAGATATCGACTAGGAACATATGTCAAAAAGTTTTAAGATATTCAGCACTCTCTTGAATTATTAACAACAACAACCACCACCACCACCCAAAACCAAAGACGTTACAGAATAACTCCACAAGTGGACAGATGTACTGAAGTACTTCTTAAATGACATGACGTTTAAACATGACCAAGTGCAAATTACAGCCGGTCTTACAAATGGAGATCCAGTGATGTCTCTCTGACATACGTAGTACATGAAGCTTTAGCTGAGCTTCTGAACTAACTAGGATGGGACAAGGCATGCAGTAAAAGGCAGATGGGGTTAATTTTAAAGGTGCTTGACCTCCACCTGGCTTTACCTCCGGCTGTTTCCTTTCCTACAAAACAACGTATTAAAAATAAGAATTCTGTGACTTCAATACGACTGTATTTTCTGAATTAAGCACTGCTGTTAGGACAAGCTGCAAGATTACAGAAAGTACTACGCCAGATAGGAGTGTCCTTTGTTCTGATAATGCAATTAAAAGAAGTATATAGCCAACCCTGTCCAAGATGAATTTGGGGTGAAATTAGACATTGCTTTGATCTTACTCTTGAGAAGGGAGGCTCTTCCTAAAGGATGCTTTTTGGAGGGCAAACTTCTGCAACCGTCTGAGTGTCTGTAAGGAATGATGCAAAACAATCATACTCCCTGATCCGATTTACAAACGGACCGAAAATGCGTTGTCCTCCCCCACCCCCTACCCCATCTTCTAGCTCTCCTCTCTTGGTCATGAGCTACTCCCTTTGCTGCCCCTCACCCTTTGAGATTCATTTTTATTTGTTGCTGCTATGCCTGATCTGAGTAGTTCCTTATTCCACATTAGATGAAAACCAGCAGGGAGGCTCAGAAAGTGCAGCTTTTGATTTCTGCTGCTGGCAGCGCACTAGTCAGGAGCAATAGCTCTTGAAACTGTCCTGCACAGACCCTGGATTCACGACTGGAACAAAGACAACGCAAAAGGAAAATTCAGCAGATTTAGTAGCTCAGATCGTTCAAGTCTCTACTGAGCATGCATGAACTACAGTTTTCCAGAGCTTACAACGTGGCCATATCTGGACTGGATTATGACAGAAGCAGAAGGCATAGCCCTCATTTAAATCTGGAATGGTTAATCTTTTCAAAAATGATTTCTACCCACATATGCAAAAACAGTGCCAGTTTCTTATCCTCATGAATTACTGGATCTTATCAGAAATTTCTGAATCACTGTGAGAGAAATTTCCCATAAAGAAACCAATTACGCCTGAAGCGGACATGCAGCATGGAAAATTTCCACTCGAACGGTTACAGTTTGGCCAAACTACAAGCAACTGGAACTGGCTCGTAACATGGAAAGCGTTATCTAACCCTAAATACGGACACTGCTAACTGGTCTGCCCATAAACAATAACAAGGACAAACTAAATACCTTCCACATCTAACACTGTTGGAAAACATTTGCCTTTGGGTATACTTAAAAAGCAGCACATGTATTTTCACCTCAATGTGCTGCAAAGTGCTTCTAAAAGAAATTAGAAAAACAGTGGCAATTAAGGTATGTAACTGCTTTACATTTTAGGCACACTAAAGATTTGTAAAACTCATCTTAAAAGCAATGCACAGTTTTATCAGAACCTTGGACAGCACTGAAGGGACTCAACAAATTTGGCATTTTACCTCAGCGGCTACAGACACTCACACTCCCGTACTACAGACGCTCTGCATACCGAGTATGGAGCACACTTTCCCCTGCTGCTCCCCTGGCTGTCAATGCAACCTTCAAATACCAAAATGATGTATATCCCATAAAGAAATCTTAGGGATTTTAAGAAGGAAGTGAAAGTGGAAGCATAAAACCTTTACTTTGGGGTTATTCTGCACTACTTTGCATTTTAAGAACCCCCTCCCCCCGACCCCCCACAACATTTAATATGAAGGAGTCAGAGTATGGTAAGAAGACAAAATTCTAAGTCAATCTAACTATGATATAGATAAAGAAAGGTACAAAGAAAGGTTTCAAACAGCTTTAAGAGGGAGCAGAAACAACATTTTTTATCGCTTTTTCAGAAACAAGGGGAATTTTTTGGAAGTCTCACTAGTCACACACTCATAAAACCCCCAAAATATGAAACCAACTGCTAAATAAAGATGAATTCAGCATTAACTGCCTGGAAATTTTTTTTTTGTTGGTTGTATTTAAAAATATGTATTTTAAATGTACTTTAGGCAAAACATAAACTCACGTTATTAGGAGAAGCAGGAAAAATTCAGAGCTTTGAAAATATTTAAACTTATTCCTCACAATTTGCAAGAAAGTTTTTTAAAATTCCTCCACTCCTGACGAAAATCCAACGCCCTGTTTGCTTTTAATAAAAAATAGACCTTAAAAAAGATCTGATCACTATTGTTTGCAAGCACTTGAAAGCAATAAGATGGTCGCAAGACTTGAGCTGACTGTTCTGCCTCTTTACAAACTCAATAAACCTTGCTTTTTATGACTGATTGTTGTGCTGTATTAATCCCCTAGCATATAAAACAAGCCTATTGGAGACTGGGACTCCACTGGGGGAGGACAGGGAAGCTGTTGTGTTCTGAGAACTAATCCATCTAGGAAAATCAAAAGCCAGCCACTCACAATACAGTAATCAGTTATGTTCTCCACTGTGAAAGCTCCACATTTCCCATTTAGAAAACACAACTATTTATCTATTATGTACTGAAACATACACACAAAAACCCTTTTATTTATCTGTGTGTGTTTCTGTTTTGCTTATTATTTATGGGTTTGTGTGTAGTCCATTGGTGGGTGCATAACCATCAAGTTAAAAAACAAAAACAAAAAAACCCACCTGTCTATTCCAAACTGGTTAAAAGGAAAAAGGGACTCCCACTGCTTTTTCCTCAACCAAAGTTCTTTCCGGATTTGCTTTGTGAACAAGATTTTAACTCTTTATTACCCTAAATAAAAGGAAATTTGTTGCCATTTTTCCTTAGAAAGAAACTTTGTTAAATCATCTAACATCAGTTTCCAAAATAGCACTGCTAAAATAAAAAAAATATTTGAGGTGTTAGAATTGCTCAATTGAAAATTCCTTCATTTCTAGGTTCCATTTCTATGATTTGATCATCCTTTGTTAATAAAAGCTTAAGTTTTTTTTCAGATTGAATGATGTAGCCTTCCAAATAGAATAAAGGATAACGATGGATAACTTTTTTTTTCTTTTTGACTCAAATTCTTTTTCTTTTGACTGTCTTTCAGGAGCTAGAAATATGAATTTTCAGTTCAGTGTTGTGAAGGGAAAGATTAAGAACCAAACAAACTCAGCTCTAAATCTTGTGTGACATGGCAATTCAATGGCTAAATGAATTCTGGCCCACATGGAAGAATTAAGGCTTATGGAAATCATTGTGAAATCACAGTCTGAAAAAGCATATGCTCAAGGAGAACCAAAAACATGTATATCCTTTTTCATTCAGCTAGTAGAAGGTGCCTACCTGTATAACAAATGAACTGATAAACTGGCACTTAAACACAACAATTTTTAACATCCTCTAAAACATTCCTGTGGAGTCATTAAAAAAAAACAAAGAAAACATTTTGCATATATTCATATTTATTCTTCTTTAAAATAAAGAATACTTTTCTCCTCCATTTCTTTAAAAATTAAGACATCACTAAAAGCAACAAAAGGAATAGTTCGTTTTTGTCCACACTGTCATGATACCTTCATAGCAATACTTGCTTTCCTTAATAAAAGGCTAAGGACTTTCCAGTTTTATATCATTGCCTTTAAAATCCAAAGGTGAATAAAATCCGAGGAGGTCAACTCAATAGTCCCACTTGGTTAGCATGGTAGATACAGAGGTCTTATGGTTAAACTGAAATATCTTAATTGTCTGGGTATGCCCCAAAACAGTTTTAAGCGTTACTATGCATTTCTCATAGTTTAAAGTACCATGTTCTTTTTTCTATTTTTAAGTCAAGAAAGGAACTTGAGAAGCACAAGCACTGGCACATGGCTGAGTGGGTCTTACAAGTAGTTTTAGGACATAAACTTGTGTTTCCAATTAAAATGGAATAAATGACAACACCACGAACAACCTAACTTTAGTGGGATCCTTCTGTCAGACAGAACTAAAGAGAACCCAATGAAAGCAATGATATACAAGAGCCAATAATATTAACATTTGAGCTGTAATTTTTGCTCCGTTTCAGGCATGGAGGATTACATTTCTCGACTGCTAAGGCAACAGTATGGCACGCAGGGAGTTAACCGTGAACTCTTCCCACCCCCCCGCACAGCCCCATCTCTTAGGAGGGTCCCCAAAATGAAGAGGCAGGGCCTTCCATTCTTCTGCCTCTCTTGAATTAATTAACTGGAAATGAGTTTTGTCAATGTTTTGGAAAGGCAGAGGGGTGAAAAGAAACTGCTAGAATTAATCACAGTGAGAAACTACCTCTTCAGCAGTCTGCCAGAGTTCAGAAAACCCATGAGAAGTGCAAAATAAAAGGAAAGTGGGCTGACTTACCATCCCAAGGAACAAATAAAATTCAAACAAACACCCAAGTCTCCAAAACAGAGACATGCCCCAGCGCAAAGGAATGTAGCATCTGTTGCCACAACAGCTTCAGCTTTGTTTTTAATATACTTGTCCTGAAGATTGAAAGGTAACAAGGTAAAAAAGACAATTTACTAATAATTTAAATACACAGAAGCCATATTGTGTGTTTAATTCAGTAAATATTCATGTACATCCAATATTTCACTGCTCTTCATGTAAGTACAGATACTTAAGCACCATGACTGAAAACTAACAACTTTCATTGTTTAGTCCTGACTCAATACAGATCTTTTAAATGAAGAAGTCATACTGCAGAGAAGTTATATCTCTTTGTTGTGTTTTGAATGATAATCATCTTCAGGTTCAGCAACGGAAACTGGTAACAACTCAATACTATGCTAGATGCATGTTGTTTTTTTTTTTTTAACTAATGAAACCAGAAAACAATGAAATTTAACCTATCCGAAAAGGGTTTTTTTCATTAGCTAATTAACCTAAGTAGTTACAAAATTTATAGGTGCCCATTTGTTTATAACAGTGAAGGAGAAGTATTATTTGGCAGTTTTTCTGAGAAAAACACAATATTTCCAGCAGACTGGAACTCAAATTGAAGAGAACTTGATTGCCTTACAAAGCAAAATATGACAAAGGAGAAATGTTCTTTTAGTGATTTTGACTGATCCTATTTGGTTTTTCATGAAGGCTTTTTTCTAACACATCTCAGAACTAACTTGTCATCTTGTTTCTCTATCTTTAGACCCATACTGTCAAGGAGAGAACTGTCTGCCAGCCCTCGCTCCTCCATCTGGGCAATAAGCTGTTGGTTTCTCTCATTTTGTTCAGTGAGATTTCGGATAGCATATACTGCCCACTGGTTCACAACTGTTGCACAAAGTTAAGGATTTTTTTTGGAAAACGTAACAACGCTGAGTTTACTTTGTTAACACCCTCCCCTCCCTCCCCAGCCCCTTCAACTCCTAAAGAAAAAAACTCTCAAACCCAGAAAAATAGTCAACATCAAGGGTTTAGAAGAGACAGCTATTTACAGGTTATGACTCCAAACCTGCAAATACTTGCATATGAGGTAATTTAAGTTTAACTGAGGTATGTCCATTAACTTCAGGCAAGCTTACTAGGTTTTATCTGGAATAAAAAAAAACAAATGAACTGCAGGAATTAAAAGGACATATTGTTTTGAACCAAAATTATAGTTAATTGAAATGTTCCAATGATCTTCCTAGTAAGATTAGAGAGGAAAAAAAGAAGAAAAAAAGAAAAGTTGGTCATAGTGTTTGCAATCCTAACATTTCAACGCTCCTCATTCAAGAACTGGCAAATAAAATGAGCTGTAAATCAGGTACAACTAAAGAAGATGACTGATTATTTTCACCGTAAAAGCTGAAGAAACATGCAAAAAAAGAGAAACATCTCAACCATGCTCACAACTGTGAATAGCATAAATAATGTGGGAAACACTTAAAAATATCTAGCTTGTAATGTTATCTAAATTCAGGTCCTTGTGCCTGGGTGCTTTCACTAACTCATCAACAGAACAGACAGTAAGATCACCAGCAGGTAGTTCCTGCTCATGTTCAAATGGGCACAAGCTGCAACTTATTCACCTTCTAAGGTGGTCCCTTGAGGCCAGGATCGAGGCACATGTCAGGGCCACAGATAAAGGATTTAAATTCCCAGGATTATCAGTCAGACATCTTCCAAGTGAACTACAGTGCTCATTTTATGAAGTGTCAGAGATGTTAGCCCCAGTTCTACAGCTGAAAAGCTATGTTATGATATAATCTTTCCCAAGTTACCCATACGGGAGGCAAGCCATTCTGAATCACACAAAAGTGGTTTGCCTGCAGGGCACCAATTATTTACTACATGTAGCTTCACATCCAGTAGAAGAATATGCATAATTTACTCATCTCCTTGACATCTTTTGGGTTAGACAGTGTCTAAGCACAGAGATAAGATATTGTTCTTAGGGGCGTTTGCCAGGGGTGGGGACTGGAGGGGAAAAATCCTCAACTGGGGAAGGTGGGAACTTCAGTCAAAAGAATACAATAAAGGAACTGGACTTTCAATGGTCTTACAAAAATCTATCATGACCACATTTGGAAAATCCAGAACTACTGCACCAGGCACTGCACACACATTCTTATAGTGATCTTTACTGTTTTCCCTTACTATTTTCTCTGCGCACCTTGCACTGACTGTTGTGCCTACCTTGGTTCTTTCCCCACCATTTCCACCTCATGCCCCCCACTCTCTCTTAGGCTTATACTCTTTTCAGCATAGGCACAGTCTCTCCCTATGGGGTGTCTGATGTACCAGGCAACATGGACAAACAACAAACAGCCTGTAGCAGGAGTAGCAATCTTAATTTTAAGAGAGGGGAAATGACAAACACGGACAAATACCGAAGGCAGAAAAATAACAATTCATGAGCAATACCTAACCACAGCACTACTTAGATGCCAAAAGAGGATAGAGCAGGATTGAAAGAAAGCACACAAGGAATCCTCAACACAGAGGACAAGGTTCAAATGAAGAACAGCTTGGACAAACATCACAAGAAACATGCATGCTAGGGAACAATCCTGCACTAACATGCATCAGTGAATCAGCCCCCTACCTTTTACTCTTAGTTCATGCTTATTTTCACATTCAAGCAGCCCAGAACTGAAAACCAAAACCAGCAAAGTAATACCAACTACAGAGCTTTTTTTTTCTGACAGATTTCTTCAGACTTCATCAGGAAACATGCTGCACACCACCCTCATTTTAAAATTTCTGGCCAAAGGCTGGTCCAGGTAGGGTAATGACAGAGGAGAGAAATTAAGAAAAAAAAAAAAATCATGCATCACATCAAAGCCTTAATAGGTGAACATGATAGAAAACACCAAACTATTCTCTTTTGTCAGTGCACCACTACTATGGTTAAGTGATTAGACAAGCACCAAAATACTTTTGTGAGATATGTGAATGGAGTATTCTCACTGGGGACTACGTATTTGAGCATATGAAAAAAAACCAACAACATATCAAAGAAATTAAACCACATATAAGCAGAATCTCACTCATCAGCTCCAATGGCGAGAACAAACATCAGAATGGTAAAGTGTGCAAGCTGATGAACGCAGATGAACAGATGAATAAAGGCTAATACCTAGCGGATCTTCCCTAGGTCTCTTTTAGGACATTTTGCAAATTCCAGAAAGTAATATGAACTTCCCTCAGTGAATGGTGAGAAACTTAGTATCACTCTGCTCGGCTCTGCGCTTTGGAGAAGGAGCAGACTTCTCTGGCCGAGTTCCTAAAATACAGCTCTGAATGTCACTTGCACAGAAGACGACCCACTAAAAACGGATGCAATTTTCAAAGAGCGACAGTTCTCACTCGCACAGAGTGCGGCACACAGGAAAAAACACTCAGTGAAAATTTTTTGCATTAGCCTTGGGAATAGTCCTGTTACCACCATCTTTATGTCCTTCAGCACAAAAAAACTGCTAAAACCCGCAGCAAATGATACTTTCCTATTATCATATCCATTCATGCTTACATAGTATCTAAGACATCTCTGTTATCTTATGAGTTGACCTCTATCATCATAATGGCATTTATCATTATTGAGTACTGTAGCTGAAGCTGCAAAATGGTTTCAATAACGTTTTCACTCATTCAAAAACTCTTTTCTGTATGTAGGTTTTCCATTGTAAATTCAGTCATGAATATGTATGATCTTCCTTGTTCGCATGCTGTGTGAGGCTAAGACCTTTGGATGGCTGTGTGCAGACCTAGACAGACTTAAGTGTCAGCAGAGATTAAAGCTAGTCCCCAGCTAATATTCACATTACCCTCTTGCTCCTCTCCAAAGACAGAGACACAGAGAGAAAATTAAACATATTCTAGAGTCTCTAATCCTACCAACACTTTAAGCACTTTATTGTATACTCAGCTTTAGAAAGACAGCTTCTAAAGTTTCCATAGTTACTACAAATAAGAGCATGAGCCTGTTTGTTGTGAAGCTACATAAAAGAAACGAAACGCAGCAAGCATGGCACAGCCGACTGGATAAACTTGTCTAGATTTTTCTAACAGGACATACTGCAGTGTCAAATTAATTACTATTCTATACAACGAAGTGAAAACTAAAATCTCTCTTTCACAGTAGAGATGGCATAAAAAGAAAAGAGAAACTGAAATTTTAATTTCACTTTGCAGGGGCTTCATTAATGGGCTACATGTGTTTAGATGATGAAAGCAAATGTCTACATTTTACAGTATCTCTTCTGCAAAATCATTCAGTATACAGAACACTACTCTATACAATTAGAGTATTATTGTATTGTTATACAAACAATAACAAAACTGAACCAACTTGCTCTGCGTTCCGTGCTTCTGTAACAAATCTTCATACAGCAGTTCACAATATAACAGACAACCTCCTCCGGGTCAAAACTTCAACTGGCAGGGAGGGAGAATAGAGGGAGAAAGGAAGACAGAAGGGGAAAATTAGCTGGCAGTCTCCCTTAAAGGATGAAATATTTTACTGTCTGGAATCAATATAATAAACTACTAAATTCCATGTCCCTTGAGTCCTGGGGACTAATTGCAAAGGGAACATTTCACATTTCTGTTGTTCTATTTCATCATGAATTCTGCCAGAACATATTGTTAGAGTCGAGGCTAGCAACAGCATTTTGTGTGACTAATGTAGAAGTTTAATGACTGATTTAGAAGTTTAATATGGTATTAAAAATACAAACGCATGCTGTCAGGAGTCACTGAACAATAACCTGCTGCAACGCGTGACTGGAGAGGAGGACCTATAAACCATTTCCCAAAGAAAGTATTCCATCCTTTTATTCTCATATTAGGAGGTTCAATTTGGGCCAAATCTTATTGAAAAGCCCATTTCAGACATCAGGACCTCTATGAATTGTTCTATAAAAACAATTTTGAAATCTATGGATGAAAAACAGTAGGCGTAACAGTTATGGTCATTACTGAGATTTGACTCTGACTAGGTAGATATACAACAACGCATAAGTAATGCTGAAAGTATGCTGGCTTGAAAAAGGCAAGGGTTTAAAGGTTATGCATTAACATTAACTGCTGTAGGATACGGAAGGAGAGTAACGAGAAGACTGAAATATGTATGTAGTTTTTCTTAAGTCCTTTTCATATTTATTAACTCTGAGGGATTTCTAAATCTTCTTGGTGGAGAATCTGTTTCATTGCATACCCCTTACACATCATTTTTCTAGTCAGATAGTTTCCTACACTGCAGCTGATTTTCTATAATTAAATGATTACTTACGAAAACTACAAACCAGGTTTTCTGATTATTTAAATATTAACTTCATTTTAACCAATTACAGGAAGAGATTCAAACACCTTATCAAGAAAGAAAATGAAAATACTTTGGAATCCTAGTCCAACGGGCTGCTTATTTAACAGCTAGAGCAGTTCAGCTTCTATAAGAGCTTGTCTGGAACACATCTATAGGGCTAGAAACCAAAGATAATTAAAATATAGTTCTTGCTAATTATATTTCTTTCTAGTCTTCAACACGTAATCCAATTCTCAGTAAATGTTCTACAGACAAGAATGAAATACTAAAGCGTCACATTAAAAGAATCACTTCCACTTACAGACCTGACTGGACCACACTGAAAAGAAATAAATGCTTTTCCCTTCAAGTCTTTCAATCCTTTTAAGTACTTGCGTATCACAGCAACTTGAAGATAATTCTTCTCACCGTTAAAAGAGGTCTCCAGACAGCTACTGGCACTCCTAGTCACAGTTTGGATCAATGGGCCGTGATTGACCACACGTAGTAGACAGTCCGCATTTTGGTCCCTCACTGCCAGCCAAACTGCTTACAAAGAGCTGCAAGTCACCCACTTCTTCCTATTGGGGATTAGTAGTTTTACGAAGTCCTAGAAGCTGTGTAAGACTATAGCAATTTCTTCCAACTCCTCCTTTACTTGCACATAACTTTCACATTTGTTTAAGACATTACCAAGAAAGTAAGCACAGAGAATGCAAAGAACTAAGCATATCTTCATTTCTGTTTACTTATTTTAAAGCAGCTCATTCATATTTTTAGGATAAACGATTTGGATTTGTTTATTCTTGACATTAAATTGTCAGCATCGGAAAAAATGAGGAATTCAACCCATTCAAACTTAAAATATTCTGTCTAGAATTTGCAATAAAAAGGCCTAAAATATTTTGGTTGCTTGTGTTTTTATTTAGCAGATTCCACAGCAGATATTATCATCAGTGAATGCAGTCACCACCTTCTGGGTTTAAAAGCTAGAAACAGACAGTGCCCTATCAGCTGGGAATGGGAAAGTCCTTCCATCCCCTGCTTGACCTGGCTGCTGCAGAGCAGACTTAGCACAACTCACCTGATCTAGAGACCTCCGAGGTGGAGAAGCTCCACTGGACGCTGGAAGGGGCATTTATTCCTGATCACACCCTCGGATGCAATTTATAATGCTGTGGAACAGAGAGGAGAGGTTCATTCCTACCACAGGTAACTCTCACCTGGCTCTAAGAGACCAGCAGGATGGTTGGGCCATCCACCTCCAAACAAGCTTCAAACTCCACCACTATGTGGCAGCAAAACTTCACTGGAAATACACGATTAGCTGCCTGCAGCAAGTAGACAGCCCTTTCAGACTCTAGGACAGAAAAATCAGGGTGGGCTGCTGGTGCTTACTGCAAGGCATTCCACGTACCAACATGCTTCCACAAAATATTTTGGTAAAGAAAAGAAGCCTATCCCCAAAAACCTGAACTGGGGCTTACAGCTAAGACTACACTCAGTAGAACAGTCCTGTCTTGCCGGAGCAAGGTTTCAAGTGATACTATTTCTGAATAGGCAAACGGGGAAAACTGTTCTGTCTGAAGTAATCAAAAATCAATTCTACACTAGGGCAACACTCTCAGTAACCCACAGCCTATAGAAATAAAAAACCCATCCACAGCAGAAAACAATTGTAAACTGAGTATCTTCCAGTTCCCCAAGGCTTCACTAACCTCCCACACTTATCTCTCTACCAGCTCAACACCATCTTCATAGCTACCTAAACGGATGCCAGCTTCCTGACTTCCCGTCTATTCAGTTAGCTGTAATGATGGATCCATTTCTTGAACTTGTGGTATACCAGGTTCCCCTAAAACGTGCCTAACATTCTATATAATAGAATAGGTAAGTATGTTATATTTCATGTATAATTTTCAGGGAATGTTCTTCCACTTAAACATCTGTCACCAACAAATATACTTTAAAATCAGAATGGAAAGTAGCACCTCTTTTGTCCAACACTTCTGCACATCATGCAGACCACTCAAGTTCACCAGTGACTCTTGAATCAAGTCTGTCAATTCCGTTTCACGCACAGGATTTCTTTTTGTCTTTCTCTGGAAAGCATCCAGTCTTGACTGAAAGATTTCACTCTGTCCCTGGGCAAACTGTTCCAGTTCATTCCAGCCTCTGATGCGCTTCTAGTTTAAATTTGTGTAGCATTTGTTTCCAACCGCTGCTTTTTATTATAGATAGATTTAAAAAAGAAATTTCACAGACCAAGGTCAAGGCACTTAGTAAGTGTCGTCTTCATGAACAAAACAGCAAAGCTGAGGCAGGTACACCAAACTTTGCATAATTCTTGTACCTCTTCTCTCCATTTGAACATTTAAGCATGCTGTTTGAAGCACAAACACAGGAATTTCATACCGCAGTCCACCAAAATTTGCTGTTATTGCCAACTACACATGCACTACCCAGTTGTCTGCTCCTTCTGGCTCTTCCCCAATAGTTCAGAAAAAAACAAAATCAAAACCTCACATTCAGTTGCCCTCTCATTCCTAGCTACACTCCTGCAAGTAGAGCCCAGGCTCTTCAGATCATTCAAAAGTACTTTTCCGGCATTGCTCAGTTCTGACAGGGAGACCCAAATCATAAGGTCCATTTTAGTTCCAAGGCTGGACTGCATTTTAACTACATACAGCTCACTTCAGTGATCTCTAGCTACATGATACTGAATGTTCATTAAAGTGCTATTTATTACCCCATCAATTTTGGTTACTGAGACATTTTTACCTAGAGTAATTTTGGGATTTTTTCCCAAATCACTAGTTTTTCTGGGTTAACAGATCACACAAGGCATCACTGAACATAATTACATATCCAGGCTGCTATTAGTTTCCAATGTCTGCCAGTGAAACAACGTTTAATCCATAATTCTAGGTGCCTCCTTTCATGCTCTGTGGGATTCAAAAGCATAGTCAATGCCAACACACCTTTGCATACTGAAAAGTTAAACACAGTATTTCTGTCCAGTTCAGCACTCTAGAGCTACTCAAGCCATAGTACTGGTTTAGCTTTGTCAGGCTATTTTTATAATACTGTCTGTTATGCCAAAGCTTACAAAACTTAAAAAAATTAAGCCATAATCTCTAGTTTGTTTTACTTTTTCCTATACTCAAACTTGCAATACTAGCTTAAAACCATGAATATGACACATTCATTTTTGCTGCTTAGGCTGCCAATTTTTTAAAATTATGACTTACATTTTTAATAGAAACCCATAATTTATGAGTAACTATAAATCCGCTGGTTTAAAAAGAAAAAGAATCACACTCTTGATCAATCTCAAGTTAATTCTCTACAGTTACAGTATTCTGTTCTTACAGACCCTTCTATTACACTAATCCCATTTTAGTAATTTCTGACAAATAAACCCAAATGGTAGTTGTATAACAGATACCAAAGATTCACTAGGTTAAGTAAAAAAAAAAAAAAAAAAAAAAAATTGCTGTTGCCCACACTATTAAAAATGTCTCAACTTATCTTATTTTCTCAGATATAGGAAAGAATGTAAAATTCTATTAAGTTGAAACACTTCTATCAAATTACTATTAAAACTTACCACCAACATCAAGAAGTGAAGCACTAAAAGGTGGTAGGACGCTAACTGTGTTCACAAACTGATTACACATCAGGCAGACTGCCGTCACTTTAAATTTCTCTGGACACATTAAGAAAAAATCTCCATCTACATAAAAACAGAAACATATTCATGTGCATTTATGTGCGTACAGATAAACAGCTCTTCTAAATCCCCTCTGAAAATGGTAATTTCAAAATTCAAGTAAAACTTACAAAAATTTGATATTTGAAGGATCAACCTAGTTAATACCTGAAAATTCTAGTCAATACCTGAAATGTGGTCAAACGAATTATAATTTATCAGAAGTCTAAGGTAGATGATAAATTAAGCTATTATATTCTACATATATGCTCCAATTCAGCAAAGGATCTGTATGCCAGCTTATCTTTCAGCATTGTCCTCAAGTATTTTATTGATTCAGGGTCTCTGAAAAAATTTTGTGGAGTAATTCCCGCTTCCGCTGCTTTTAGTACTTTCAGATATCACTTTATGACAAATAATCAAAACAATGAAGGTAAATGAAACTCCAGTTCTAATCTCATTGACACCAGATGATGTCCATCAATGTGTGTCCAACAATAACAACAGTTCAACAAATGGGTGTTTTCAAACATGCAACTAAAAATATAACCAACTACATTTTTTTCCCCACGTTCTGCAAAATAACCATTAGCTACAATTATTTCGGTTAGAATGTCAGGGAACGTTTGCATCTCCTTGAGGAGATCTCAGATCATTAAGAGACAAGAACAAATTACTATGGTCAGTGGAATGGACCGCAAATATACCCTTAGTGAGGTAGAAAGGAAAGGTCAGGTTTTGGAAAACATTTAGGAAATAGAAAGAACAAGATCTAGACAAAGATCTGGGGGGGGGGGGGGGGGGGGAAAAGGATTAAAGGAGCTACGTAAGACAATGTGCTCACTAGCTGAAGGTACAGATCGTTTTAGTAAGAACAGTGAACGAAAATGGGACAAGAAGAAAATTTTGGAATAAAGATATGACGCAGAGCACTGACCATATTCTTGGGAAGCACGCAAGAAACCGTGTCAAGACGACAGACTGAAACACGATAAGGCAGTCGTAGAAGGCATTCCATTCTCAACAATATTTTTGAACCACTCCTAGCTTTATTTAAAAAAAATAAAACCTTTGGGTCTCAAATTTCTAGTGCTTTGTCTCAGCCCAGAGGGGAAGTTTTTAAAAGAAAGTCTACAGAAAAATCAAGCAAGCTGTTTGAGTTATAAAAGCAGTGAAATATTATATTTTCTCTATTTCTTTCTTTTTTCTTTTTTTTTTTTTTTGCTGTGCCTGGTAACTGAAGATTTACTTTCTTTCCAAAATTCAAGCCTGTCATGGATTTAAGTCCACCAACAGGATTAGGGTGAATGACAAATAGAACAGTATTTGGTTTAGAAATATAGTTATTAACTTCAGTTCCTTACTTTAACATGCAGGAGTTGGTGCCTACAGAGATTAGTCGTCTCAAGGGATTAAAATATTATAACGTAACATTTGAAAGAGCCTTCTTGTAGCTTGTATACCTTTGTTAACGTTCTCCAGCTCTGTCCAAGTGGGACCCTGTACACCACATGCCTTCATTAATGACGACAGCTGTCACTTGCAGGAACTGGTTAGGAGCGATACCGAAGAACAGACTTCCAATTTACGTCTCTCTAAAACTGTTTTAGTATTTTATATATTCTCAAGAAAATTCGTACTTTTTTTTGTCCAACAAGTTTTCAGTTTGAGTACTGTTCTCATCCTGCAGGTGCACTGAATAAAGTGCATCCTGAAATTAAGAAATTAGTTACTTGAAATATGCCATTAGGGATTATAGCTTTGTTAAATATCCAAACACAAAATTAATCTCGGTCAATTATGGCATAAAAACCTCTAAAAAATAATTCTACAGATTAATTTAGACATTTCCACCAGAGCGTATGTTAGCCAAGGACCCTACTGTGTTTGGGAATTATGACCTAATTAGAATTTCATAGCGGAACATCAATTTGATCTACTGGAAAAGTATGCTAAAGCATGCAGTGCTCTAAAGAACCTGATTAAGTCATACTACATATGAATTGCAGCTGGAAATTAAATGCCAGAACTCTAACTCCCAATTTTCTTCCCCAATTAACAAGCTGCAAAAAAAGAAAACTTTCATTTCCCACAGAATCTCTTTCAGTGCTGCATGCTGCACTTCTCCTGTGGTCTTAGTCTTTTTCATACGAAAGAGGACCATATTTGACATCAAGATTGTCAGGTAACAGCATGGTTTACTGATATAGCTAGTAGATGGAGAACATCTCACATGAAAACCTTAAATTTTTGTTCTCGTTCTCAAGTAGATAACAAAAATAAACATTTTGTAAGTGCAGTCTTAGAAAATTTAAATCTACCAAACACCATGCTTAACACTGATGTAGTTTTATTCTTGGTTCTTCTGTCACCTTGTAGGTGAGTCCTGCTCCAAAGAGTTTCAACATACAGAGAAGACAAACAATGGGTTCAGTCATGGAAATTGTACTATCCCAGCTTTTGAGATCTGAAGCCAAAGTCCGGAGAGATTTAAAATGCGATTAGGTCACAGGAATACCTCCTATACCCTTTCAGCAGGGACCATGCACTTAGATAGATGGTCCCTCTCTGCACTCTCCAGAGCTTTATAATAATGCCACTCTGGGTATCTTATTCAATACCCTACAGAAAAATCCTGCTTAGAACAGAAAGTCCTCCTTAGTCCACATATTTCAGTAAGATCAAGAACAGCTACTTGCAATACTTCCTTCATGAGTGTAAAGACCTCCACATGAGCAGCGACAAGAATAGGCATGGTTAGGCAAAAGACCTTCCCAACTAAAAACAAAAGCAGCACTTGGGAATAGCTGTGTTTTTCACCTTTCACCCTCAGAAACAGCAAGACGGTTGGAGCCTCTTGGGAACCATTTAGGAAACTGGCCCACATCCACAGCTAAAGAAACCCTTATCACACAACAGCAAGGGATTCCCTTGTGAGCCACACAAATGCTGTAGGCTCCATTAGTATCTAACAGAATTCACAGAGAACTTGCAGCAGCAAGGTAGGATTTGGTGAGCTGAACAGGGTGAAAGAAATAAGCCCCTCTCAGAGACTGTTATTGCTCAAAGCATAAGCATATTTGTACCTCTTCTAGCACTTAGCTTCACTAGTTCGTCTGAATATAATTGTAAGATGCACAAATTTTAGCGTAGCTCCTTCTCTGTGAAAATACCACAAAACAGAAAGCTTCCAGACTTCACAGGCTCTTAAAGTCTCAGTATGTAGGAACGGAATTGGACTACTACGAATACACAGTGATTATCTTCCTACTTGATCTTTTTTTTTCCATTAAAAAAACTCCCAAAAACTCGGTTGCTATTTTGTGTTGTCATATTTGGCACTATCAGCCTAAAGACAGAGGCTAATACATTTATGGTCCTCACCTGCGCTGGTAACTCCCATTCTTTTAGTGCCAGCCTGTAGGTCCCCAAACACTTAAAAGCAACACTTTAAAAGCAATAAAGCCTCTAATAATGCAAAACTGTAACACTCCATCAGTTAATACACTTCTATTTAGCCCAGGTAGATTTCTGGCTTGCTCACAGAGCAAGGCAAACCTCAGTGGGATGAGGAAAAGGACAATTTTTTCTACGGGGGTAGATCTGGACTGGGCATGGAGAGGTCACTACTCTTTTCATCAGTCTAAGTCCTTTGGACTGACCATATCCATTGCAACAACATTATTTTATGCATGCTTATGAAAATACAAAAAAAAAAAAAAAGAAAAAAATCTCAAACGATTCACCTAAAACTGCTAAATGCATTGGTAGTGCCCAAAGCAAAACGCAACCATTACTGATGTCACGTTATTCTGTCTTTCCTTGCTAAGATAAAAGAGTGCCACATTTCCGTGAAGCAGCTCAACTCAATAGCTCAGTAGGATGGTTTACTCTAAAAGGTCAAATCATACTCCTTTTTTTTGCTTTCTACTGGCTTCTATCCAGCTGTGAGGCTTTTTCACAGCATGTGGCCTCTTCTAGGTTGCACTCTGTAACTTAGAAATAAAATGTCTGTCAGTTCCCCCAAAAGTCTTTCCTGGCATCCCACAAAAACAAACTGCCATTGTTGCAGAGCACAGCAACTTGATTTCTCCTAGCTTTAGCCAGGCATTTCATGAACCACAATCACACTAGCTGCTGCCACGAAGTCAAAAGTATTTTCAATCTACCTCTTAGATGACTTTCAGAATGAATATATTGAAAGAACTCTAGGGAAGGGGTATCTGAAAGTTAATTTAGATTTTCTGTTTTTATCCACTATTCTCACTAAAGATTCTATGTGTGCAGATCCATAACAACCACAGGTTTCCCTTTTGCTAAGGCTGCCAATTCTTACTCCTAAAAAGTAGCCAGCTATGTGATTGTTCATATTTTAAATATATATTTATATACGCATGCACACACATATGCATTAAAATATGAACAGTCGGCGCAGCCGGCTACTTTTTAGGAGTAAGAATATGTTTTTGTGTGTAGAGGGGTATGTGTGTATACACTCACATCCGCCCACATCCTACACAGTAGTCTGTTCTTCTCTGCAAGGAGCACTGCACTTTTGGCTAACAGAAACATATGCCAGATTAGGGTTAAAATAATACAGGCACTTAAAGTCAATTCCAGCTGAATTCAGACAATCACAGAAGTAATTTATCAATAAACATACCGGAAGCATTCTCATAAGGTAAGTCTGCACAACTGGTAAGCATTTTGAAAAACAAGACTATCCCCATCTTCAAAACTGCACTTCACTTCTTATTTTGGAAGCGGAGCTGAATAGCAGAATTCACATTAAAATCAGATCTGAAATAAATTACATAACTGCAATAAATTACAGAAATTACAGATCTGAATAAAATAAATTTTATTAGTAACTAACAGTTATTACATTGCAATACCTTTGATAATATAATCATGCTTAGAATAGCAATAAAGTTTGCTGATACATATTTTTTTTTAAGGACAGCCATTCCCAACCTGAAGGTTAGTGCAAAAAAAGGCAAACTGAAAAGTCTTCAATAATAAACATGTCCGTTTATGTACAGTCTTTCATAAACACCTTTTTTGTATGATTAGGGTCAGCAATCTTTTGATCAGGATGGCCTCCCTCCTTACCTTTGCCTTAAGCAAGTGGTAACTGTGAAAAGTCAGAAACGATGCTAGAAGGAGCAGTAAGAGCTTAGGAAGAGGTAAAAGACATGTATGACAAGAAAAGCTCTTGTCAGATACGAGAGCCTGACAGAAATGAGGAAGATAGTAGCTCAGGGAGCAGAATAAAAGACATGTTCTTGTAGGACTCCCTTCCTAGCCAAATAATCTGAAAAGCAGAATCTGGAGTAAATTTCTACTGATATTTCCCACATGGGCATCTCCAACCCACTCTGCTGTTCAATGTCAGCTTTTATTTATTTAGTTTTTAAACACAGGTTACATGAATAAAGCACAATGCTCCCGACTTTCCACAAGTAGAATAACAGACTGAATTTTCAAAAACAAAAAGCTATTTCATGAAAGAATGGAAGAGTATGCTTTCATATTACCTCTCCTTAATCTAAAGGTAAACAAGTTCACTTCCATTTTGAAACACCTTTTTCTTTTCTTCTTCTTTTGGATTCCCAGCCACAGTTATAATTACAATGCAGTGAATCCAAGACAGAGTATTTACAGGGTATCGAAAGAATTAAAGTGGTATTCAGCCCTTCTTTGAAGTTTAACTCTTCATACCCCAAGACCTATAATGAATCCTATCTCCCCAGTCCCATTTACCTTTTCCCCTGTCTTAAAAGCCTGAGAGGTAACATCTGAAAATCTTGGTATCCGTCAGAATTACTGCATTACATTTAGTTGGAACTAGGCAACCTAGTATTAGTTGAAAATTTAATATATAGATTCAAAGAATCTTTGCAAGAGGTACAGAAAGTTTGTATTTAACTATCCACAATCAACTTCATGACCGCTGCTAATGCAGTTTTTCGTTTGTTTTTATTTAACCTGGGAGCATTCCTGACGGAAAAACTACTATCAGCGCGTACAAATTTTAAAGATACAAGTCTGTTCAAGGTGTAACTAGACAAGATAACAGTTCTACCGAACTGGACACCAAAAGATGAATTCAAACTCAAGAAGCTAAGTAATGCAAGCATCTCAGCTGAACTTCAGCTAGCAGTCTTTAAGAGATCAACCTCCTGATACGTCTATGCACATTACAAAACTGTTCAAGCTCTCAAAGGATGCAATTTTAAGGTAATGACAAGTTTACAAATAGGAATTTATTTAGGACATCTAAGAGCAGACCTGTCTCCTCTTTCAATAGGTTTCCATATGCTACCTATAAAATGATTTATCACAAGAATTCTTTTAACATCTAGCATGGCAGTCCAGCTTCTGATGAACTGCATATTTCAGGGAAAAAAAAAAAATATTTTTTCCTCCCCCAAAAAGTTACATCACTTACCACAACAATTATGTTTTCCTTTGGAAAATTTTGTATGTGGAATGTGGAGGCAGAACTCAGCTACTGAAATCTGGAAAATAGCTACATTAACTCTCTTTTAAGCAGAGAGCATAATGAAATCTTAACTGCAGAGCTCTTATGGATGTCTCCAAAATAGATAAACCCCAAATGAAAATGTGTATCTATCAAGTGTCTAGCAGGAAATTTAAAAAGTTCTTATATAAAAGGAATATGGTTGGAACTCTTCCAGTCAGCTTTCTCCAAGGAGAAATCTGAGAAACACAGCCCTAAACCGCAAAAACAGGCACCAGAAATCAGAACGAAAAGAGAAAATTCTGGGCATGACTTCCTAAAGGAACCCTTGGTGAAGGGTTACACTGAGCTCTCCCTTACAGCATTCTACATCATCTTGGCAAATTGTAGCACCACTGAGTGATCCTATTTGAATTTCAGCAACTCTCTCTCAACATCTATCTCAAGAGCTGCCTACATACCTCCTATTAATTAATCTTTCTTGAAAAGAGAAAGCAGACAAAACATATTCACTATGAATCACAAAAGTTACAATGTGGGCAATTTTTGGATGTTTTAATTCTAAGTGAGTAGCCTTTCTAGTCTTAAAACAGAGCAAAACTTTTATTGCGAGCATCACAGAACAGATTTGTTCCGCACAGAAACTGGGTGCACAGAGGGAAGGAGGAAGTGATCAAACCTCTTCAGAAAAATCTTATGCAACAGAGTTGCGCACCTACACGCTACTGAGGAGCTAAATGTGGTGCCTGGAAGTAGCAGAACACGCTACAAAGCGGATAAAACTAGAGACCGATACAAATTTCAAACTCCTCTGCTTGCTTCCCAGGGTGAGACATGCTGAGAACACAGCAGATGAGGAATGCTAGAGGCAGGAGGGAAACAGGGGAGTATTAATTTCATGCAGCATGACACTGCTAGGAATAGCTCTAGGCCAAAATGATAAACGCAGTAGCCAGAAAGTGCGCTCCAAAAGCTGACACAGCGCAGTTTGTCACAGTATGCTAGTCCACACACTTCCCAAATGCTGTTTTTTCAGATAGCTGATACCGAGCACTGCAACAGGTCACCCAGAGAGGTTCTGGAGCCTCCCTCCCTGGAGATATTCAAAAACCTTCTGGACACGATCCTGGGTAACGTGCTCCAGGTGACCTGCTTTAGCGGGGGGGGGGTTGGACTAGATGATCTCCAGAGGTCCCTTCCAACCTCAAGCATTCAGCGATTCTGTAAGCTATGTATTAGTGACGAAAGCTCATATTAAAAAGTTTCATTATATTTAGAAAGTCTTTAAAATCAAGTAAGTGATGTTTTATCTTCTGGTAAGAAGTTTACAGTATAGCCGTAAAATGTCAGCCTGTATCAAGAAGCGTAAGAAGTTTCACAATTGCCTAAAATACAGTAAAGCCTCCCTGGTATTTTATTTTCATTTCTTTCAGCATTTTAAATTACCCTTTGAAGGCCTCAAACTTCATCCTCTTTTATCAACTGCTAACATGGAGGATTATTCTTTAAAAAAAGATTCTAAAAGTTGTTGCAGAGCTGCACTTGACAGCAAAGGAACAGTAACTCAGGGTCAAAACTTCATGCTAGGTTTTCACAGGGCCCCTGTTCTGCTTGGGGAAGGATAGACATCCCCTGCCCTTTCCACTGCCTCTAGCAGTGCCCCTTACCAGAAACAGGTCACAGAAGTACAATTCTGCTACTGGTGCACTGTCAAGAGATGGCATTAGGATTCAAACTATATGTACAGTGAAGAAAGAAGAAACCTTACATATAAAGTAACAAAGTGAATAACTCAGAGGACTCTTAACACCCATTACTCCTCCACATAGCTTGTTAAGATCTTTTTACCATCTCTCCCTAAATTAAACCCTTCTTTTATATTACACTTATATGTAGATGATGTTCTACAACATGCAAATGTGAGAACACGTGACACTTTCACAACTCTCTTTTTACGTTTACGATACTTGCTAAAACGTGAGCTTTTATTTCCAAATTCATTTAAAAAAAATCAGTTTCGTGTGTTCAGTATAAGCAAGCTGACATTACTCTAGATGGGAATGGCACTGATTTCCAGATGCGCTTCTAAGAACCTGACAAGGAGTTAATGATCAGCTGACAGCAAGCAATAATTCACCCAATGCAGTTCATGAAGAGATAAGATAAAACAAGCTTTTTAACCATTTATCTGTAATTTCAATTTTTTTTCTAACACCAATCTTTCTTAAGAAAGCTATCGCTTTTAAATCACAGGAAAAAATATCAAATATGAAGCACTACCTGTATCAGTTATATTACATTATCTCTAATATTTCAACAACCTGCATCAGTTCACTCACTCATATATGTTTTCATTATACGTTGCCAGCCATGTCTCTTTGTGTTTAGGACAAGTTTTTGACAGTCAGATTTAATAAGCGCATAGAATCAATGGGCTACTTATTTCAGTCTGCTGAACAGATATCATTTGAAGTGAAAGCTCCACAATCTAATACAATGACTAAACATAGTCTCAGTTCAGATTTCAACCGCAGTTAGCTCTCTGAATTGAGATTTGTACAACAGTAGTTTTTATTATCTTAGGAAACAGAATATAACTACATTTCAACTAATTTACTGTCCAGTTCATGAAAGCATCTGCACTCACTTCTGAACAAAGTCACTTCTGACTCACCCACTTCTGAACAAAGCATTTAAAAACAGGCTAGAAATTCCTGAGGGCAGTTAGACTTAGGTACCAAGGGAAAGCAATGCTGACGTAAGTATATTCAACTCAACTCCCCCACCTTTTCTTATGAGTCATATTCAACATACAATAGATCAGAGCTCTTCTGTAAAGGATACAAGGATTGTTGTCATCAATGGTGCAGTTGTCCAGGATCAAGGGAATGCCATCTAACTGAAAAATCTAAATAAAAAGAAAAGCTTAATTTAATAGAAGTCTCCGCAATCAACGCATGTTTCATATAAGAAATATTAAAAAAGAAATTAACAGAGAAGTTTGTTAAAATATTAAAGATGTGTTAAAACGAATTGCAGAGTAAAACTGGTATTAATACAAACAGACATTCATTTCACATTCCTCCTCCTTCTAGTATGTGTGAATTAGGTATTTTCTATTAAAGTTCTTTCATGTGCTTCTCACAATGAGCCAGAAAAGCTATACTTACTGACAGATAATGTCTGTTTTCTGGAAGAACCACAAACAACTACTGAGTGAAAAACATGCCAGTAAAAGGTGGTAAAATACACACACCCACACGCTAGTTGGTGTGTGGGAGCGCCTGTGTCTTCTGTATCTTGCTCTGCAGGCAACCTTCAAGAGCGATGTGTTACCTGTATGTACCTAGGTTCAAATCCTTAACTGTATCACATAGCAACCATTGATTTTTTCCTTCTATAAAGTCTTCAATATGTTACTGGAAAACCAACAGTGCAGTTTTTCATTTTTTATTTTATATATACACATACCCATATGAACTCATAAATGACAATCTTAAAACATACATGTGTGCATAAAATAACAGCATATAATGCTAATGGACTTGTACATACATACATATACATACAAACACACACACACTCCTAACAACCTAGAACAAGCCGAAGTAAAGATAACTACGCTACGTATTTATTGTTAAGAAATGCATATTCCCCAAGAAATCAATCTATTCTCTTAAGATACACTGTAGTACATTACATCATCATGCATATAGATTTATAAAGTGTAGTACCTATTTAAATAAAAACCTGTTCTATATTATCTATGAATTTTCAACCTTTGTAATATCTTCTTAAACTATATCGGCATTTTTTAATCATGAAAGGAATGCTGTTTTAAAGACTTGAGAGCATTAGCATTAACTGATTATATTCTTACAGTCAAACTATACTTGTCCAATATTTTAAGTTCTTTAAAATTTTATTTCAAACCACGAGTTGGTAAGGAAAGCACTTTAGACAGAATGTCACTTTGACTTGTGGCTTGACGATGGGACTGTCTCTTCCATCTTTTTTGTCCAAGATGAGATGCATTTTATATATCATGTAAAACAACGAATCACAAAGCTTACACTGCAGCATGCACCAACTTCTTGAAATGCAAGTGTTATGGTAAAAGAAGAAAGGTGGGCAGATCTGAAAACCAAACCATTTTACCAATCAATAAAAAATGAATTCAGAGACAAATCTGAGCAAGTCCCTCTTATGAACTTCTCCTTAGATACACTTACTGCAGAGTTTCAAGCTATATAACACGAGAAAGTAACAGCAGCAGAGACGGACATACAGACAGGCAAGGCTTACATTTAAAAAAAAACAAAACAAAACAAAACAAAACCGCTCGGTAAGTGCTAACCAGCACATCTGTGCTAACATGCATATAACCATACCTAAATGAAACACAGATAATAAAACAAGTTTTAAAATATGCATTCTTTCCACAATGTTTTTGTGCATTTTCCAAAGGTCATGCATCATGCATGATGTCACACTTCAAAGCTTTGACAAACAGTGACCTTTCAATAGTCCAGTTGTTCTGCGTGCTTGGAAACCATTAGTTCTTTGATTTTTACTCTGTGGCCAAACTGTGATCCACCTAGAACATTACCTTTTGTTTTCCGTCACTGAAATGCTGAACAGTACAAATTAATCTAGATTAAGTGCTGTCAACTGAAACAAACCATGTGATCTGCTCTGACTCAATTCAAATGAAACATTCAGTTAGCAGAGCAAGTATTCCGGGCAAGTAAAATTTTAATTAAAACTCACACGTGCTTCAAAAAGTTACTGTGGGAATATAATGAGATTCCTTCAAAGTAAGTGGGAACAGAGGCAGCAAACCACAATCTTAGGGATAATTTAATGTAATAAACAAGTTGCTAACTACCACTCTCTTACACACCTACTGGGACTCTCTTCAACAGCATATTCCTAAACTGGACATTAAATTGACCAAGTTAGGTCAAGTTTTTGTTACCAGCGCCTCAGCTTTAGTATGTTACCTGTGACTTACTGCACAGTAAAATATAGTGTCTTGTTGTGTAATATGCAAGACAACTCTATATATTCCTCAGAGATACCCATGAAGTGAGCTCTGAGAGCTACGATCCATGAGCAACCATTGCTAGAGTAGTTCCAGTACCCAAGAGATTTACTCTGCCCCTGATTTGGAGGTTCTCAGCTCAACAAAGGACCAGCCCAGTTGTTCGAGAACCACCTGCTGATCCACCAAATCTGCATTTCACGGTAACCAAAAATTCACGTCAGTGTACCGCAGTAGTCTGGGATGTAGCGAGCCAATTCAGTAATTTCTCTGCACGTAGCTGAAGTATTTCTGCAGCTGGAGCGCAATCAGTAGCGAAAGGAAAAAAACCACTACAGCTGTCCCACTTACATGCTGAGAGTCTCTCAAGCCCTCTCACTACCGTTAACCTGAAGAAAGTACAGTTACTCTAAACCCTCACATGAGCGGATTTTGTAAATATCAAAGAACCACGGTCCTCGGCCTCACCCCCTTATATAGGTTTATTGGAACTATACTGTAATAAAAAGTATTTGTGAATTTTTCCAACTATGGGCCTTTAAATTCTTCCTTTGAAGAGAAATATCTGAGAAATGCACAGCACAGAGTAAGGCTGTGCAACTTCTGCAGGAACGTCCTGCAGTGCTTGGGAAAGGAGTCAATGTTACGCAGACCCTCAAAATCTCACCTTCAGATTAACAAAACATCCAGGAAAGAAAACGTGTATTGGCTGATGTGAGACTGGCTGTGATCCATTTATTGCACAGATTACAGAAGAAAATATAGGCACAAACTGAGGAAGAGGACAGATGTGGTCTTTTCTCTATTTTGCTATGAAGAACCACAATGCTTTATTCTGAACTACACTGAAACAATAAATGATTGCAGCCTACATGTAGATTGCAGGCTGAAATATCGACCACAAGTTAAAGTAAGTTGCTTTTAAAAAAACAAACAAACAAAAACTTAAAAACATACAGCTCTATGCTGATCTCTAGTGCTTCTGTCAAGTCAATACCTAAAATCTTGCTCTACTGCTACTGTATCAGAATTTCTGAAATTGTTTTTGAAAAGCAGAAAAATAGAACATCCAGCATTCCTAATTGACAGAGACACTTGCCTTTGAAAGATACCTTTTAAAACAGTTTTATACTACGGCCCTATTTGTTTTCATACTTTCCTATGAAACATAATGAAGATCTGTACCGTGACAGTAAGAAGTTTAAACATATTACACTTAAAGAAAATGCCTTCCTCACTGATAAAGCGACTGGTACGTTTTCCCTCCCATACAATTTCTTTTTCTCTGCACCTGGAATTTAATAATATATTTCAACTTAAAATACACACTAAATGAAATGATTTCAGACCCTGCCCAAGGACGCTACACAGAATTAAACAATTAAACAGACCAAACGTGCCCCCTACTCTTGCTGCCCAAGCAAGCATATATATCGTGTTTTATTTGGATGATTCAGGACGTCAGTTCTGAAGAAGAGGCTACGCTTTTTCTGCTGATAACCGATGAAAAAAACTAGACCACTTCTAAAGATTTTCTGCTACCCTACCACAATCAAATTTTTTGACCAAGATACAAATAAGGTCACTAGCACAGCTAAGGATATCTGCCTGAACAAAATCACCTCTGGTTATCTCCCAGTATTTTCTTATGAAACTCACAGCAGCACCCAGAGGAAGTATAAACTAAGCACAGACTATTTCTTAAACCTCTCCATCTAAGAGCAACGGAGCCAAGCTCAGGAGTAAGAATGCAAATTCCCTAGGCATGAGAGTGCTTGCTGCAGAACAAGAAGCCTGCTGCGTGTATCTAATAAAACGCAAGTAGAACCTTCAGGTCAGGAGACTAAACTAACAACAACAAAGCCTCCAAAGATACTCTCTGCAAAAAATCACTAACATTTGAGTCCTCAGAAGGCACTATGTGGTCAACTAAAAGGCAGCAAAAAGAACATTACGTCTTCAGATATTAACAGCTTCAACATAAATTGTTTTCTTCCACCAGAATGCAATTGATCCTCAGTGCCCAATCAACTCAGGAGTCAGAATCGGAAATGTAATCATTTCAGCCACAGAAATGCTCCTATTTCATTAATTTGCTGTTAACTATAGATCAACAAAAGGAAATGTTTTCTCACAAACAGAAGTGCGCTACTGATAGTTTGCCTAATCCATGCTAACGCTGTCACACTACACAGGTTACTGACAAGCAGGTTGACAAACAGCAAGACAAAGTCTTACCTTAAAAATAAATAACGATAATAAAATCAAAAATAAGTCAAAAAGTAGGAACAAACATGAACCATGTACATGGAAAAACTCCAGATGCTACATTCTTTACAGATCATCAGTTTCCTACCAGAAAAAAGTTCTCTCTCAAACAGCAGTTAGCTCTGGAGCATTACATTTCAATTCACATTACAGAACTTATAAGAAGAAAATGTTTCAGTATGCAACAGAACTAACAAACTTCAAATTTTTTTGGACTTGGCTCCTTCACCTCGTTCTTTGGAATTCTCCTAACCAACCTAAATGGGTAGAAACACAGAAGTAGCAGCACACGGTTCAGAGCTACAGGTGTGCCAAACGTCAGCTGCCAAATGTCAGCCTTGGCTTGCATTAGATCAGGGATTAAGCTATTACCCAACTTCCCTTCCCAAGAGCACCACTTCGGGTCTCTCATACACCTAGCCACTCATTCTTCTGATGCAAAAGTACAAATATAGTAATGCTTCTGAAATCTCTATTCCTCTGTCAAATTGGGTTGAAACTGGCTAATGCATATAAAAACTGGGCGAGGGAAAGGAAGGGAAAAGGGAAAGAATAACAGGCAGCTGGCACGACATGACCACAAAAAACCTAAAGGA